TGTAGCAAGTTTGAGCTAATTCCGACTTAAATTTTTCAAGTTACGGCCATTTTAAAAAATAGGCCAAAATCTGAGAAAATCCTTGTACTATAGCCCATGGTTTTTTCCGAAAAATGGCCAAAAAATCACACCCAATTTTTATTACATTTTCTGATACATATTGATGTACTTATGCTGTGTAGCAAGTTTGAGCTGATTCCTACTTAAATTTTTCAAGTTACGGCCATTTTTAAAAATACGCCAAAATCTGAAAAAATCTCTGTACTATAGCCCATGGTTTTTTCCAAAAAATGGCCAAAAAATCACCCTCAATTTTTATTACATTTTCTGATACATATTGATGTACTTATGCTGTGTAGCAAGTTTAAGCTGATTCCGACTTAAATTTTTCAAGTTACGGCCTTTTTTAAAAATAGGCCAAAATCTAAAAAAATCCCTGTACTATAGCCCATGGTTTTTTCCAAAAAATGGCCAAAAAATCACCCCCAATTTTTATTACATTTTCTGATACATATTGATGTACATGTACTTATGCTGTGTAGCAAGTTTGAGCTGATTCCGACTTAAATTTTCCAAGTTACGGCCATTTTTAAAAATAGGCCAAAATCTGAAAAAATCCCTGTACTATAGCCCATGGTTTTTTCCGAAAAATGGCCAAAAAATCACACCCAGTTTTTATTACGTTTTCTGATACATATTGATGTACTTATGCTGTGTAGCAAGTTTGAGCTGATTCCAACTTAAATTTTTCAAGTTACGACCATTACACATCATGTACATGTTCATTGATGTTACTTACTCTCCTTTCCTCTTATTCTGTAGTCAGAGATTGTCAACCTGATGGATCAAGACTTTGACTCTACCTGGGAATCAGACGGTGATCAAGGTTCCCACTGGCTCAAGTTCTTCATGAAACCTGGCGTGGTGGTCCAAAAGTTCTCTCTCCTCGTTGACCCTGATGACAGTAGCTACCTCCCCCGTAGGGTTGTTGTTAAAGCCGGAACGGAATCAAACCGTGAAACAATATCACAAAGAACCTTCAGCCCGTCAGATTTCTCTAAAAGGGAGCTTGAATTATTCCCATTCCCCCTCTCCACTTATTACTCAGTCATTGAAGTTTGCATTAAAGCTTGTTATCAAGGAGGCATTGACACACGTATACACGGGATCAAGCTGGTCTGTCAAACTGCCTGCATGATAATACCAGAGTCTGAGAATGTCTGTGAGGATATCTTTACTTCTGAGTCCACCTCTCGTTGGCCAAAACTCGACTCCTTTACACCACGCCAGCTCTTTCATCGCTCTATCCTTCTTAAAAGAGTGGCCAGTCTCATTGATAAGGATCTCTCTTATATACTACCCCAGTGGCAGTATTCTCGCGGGGGTCTGGGAGCTGTGACGTCCCTAAGACAACTCTGGCCTTTATGCAGCTCTCGTAATGCCCTCATTGAGCAGCTGCTGCAGAAAACAACAGAAAAACCTCCGTCTGATATGCCAGTTGTGTACATAAACCGAATAGCAGCCAAACAACACAGGGAGGATCCCACCATAGACCCAGAACAGAAGAAGACGGTCTTTAACCAGCTCATGTCTGAGCTTAAGAAACACACCAAACCCTCGGAGTATAATTTCAGGTGGGCGGGGCACTGGACCCAGTGGTGGGAGTGTAAGTTCCTTCAAGAGGGTGTCATTGATCAGGGAGGAGGATTTAGGGACTCTCTCTCTGATATCGCTGAAGAGTTGTGTCCGCCATCTTTAGACGTCGACGTCTCTCTTCCTTTATTTATACGAAGTCCCAACCAAAGTCAGGACTCCTCCAACGTGTACCGTGATGCTTACACTCCTAATCCTTCCTGTGAGCAGTTTGCAAAGTATTCTTTTGTGGGTCAGCTAATGGGGGGAACGTTCCGCAGTCAAGAGATACTGGTACTCTCTCTCCCTCAGTTTATTTGGAAGCAGCTGGTGGGGGAGCCTGTCACTTGGACAAGGGATTTTGTGTCCGTTGATTCTGCCGAAGTTAAACTTATAGACTCCATAGAGACAATGGAGGCGTCCATATTTGATTCAACATTTGCTGAAGTTCTTAACTTCACGACTGTCCTTAGTAACGGAAAGACGGTCCCCCTCCTTCCCGGCGGAGAGGACCGTTACGTGACGTATGAGGATCGATTGGAGTACTGTCGTCTCGTTAAGAAGGTGAGAATGAGTGAGAGTCAGGCTCAGATATCGGCCATTAAGGAAGGACTCACTCAAGTCGTCCCACAGCAGGTTCTGGCGCTTCTCACCTGGCAGGAACTTGAGGTCAAAGTTTGTGGTAGTCCAGAGATATCCATAGAAGAGCTTAAAAAATCAGCGAAATATGACAGTGACCTTTCTCCTACATCTTCCAACGTAAAGGTCATGTGGGAGGCATTGGAAGGGTTTACTAACGAGGAGAGATCGAGATTCATCCGATTCATAACTGGCAGGAGAAGGTTACCAACCACCATTTACATTGATTCAGCAGATACAGGTCCTTCATCTCTACCCACTTCTGCTACCTGTTCTAATGCTCTCTATCTTCCTTCTTATACTACTGTGGAACAGGCTGCCTCTAAACTACGCTATGCGGCTTATAATTGCGTTGCTATAGATACGGACATGAGTCCAATTGAGTAGGCGTGATAAAGATTTGTGAGTATTGTAAAGCTAAGACGTTAGATACATATTATTATTATTGTTATTATTATTATTATTATTATTATTATTATTATTATTTTGTTTAGTTAAGTTTTGTTATTAGCTTTTCTTATATTAATTATTATTTTTAATGAAGTTAAAATCAACACAAAAAACACTTTAATGCATCAAGAACAATAACCTACCATTACACTAATGGTATGTTATTGTTCTTGATGGTATGGCCTATTGATGATCACATACTGTTATTGCAGTCAAATTGTCCCAGTCAGGTACACCATGAAGGAATGGGTTGACAGTGGTGATGCATATTGTACAATACTGTTAAGAATGTACCTTAAACAATAGCTGTCTGGTGTACAGTCAAACTATCCCAGTCAGGTACAACATAGTTGACAGTTGTGATGCATATTGTACAACGATCACTTGTCATTATACTGTTAAGAATGCACCTTAAACAATAAGAACTGTTATTGCAGTCAAACTGTCCCAGTCAGGTACAACATGAACAAATGTTTTGACAGTTGTGATACATGAATATTGTACAAAGATCAATTGTCAATACTGTTAGGAATATACCAAAATTAAATTTTAATCAATTATGGTACAGGTATTTCATGAACAGTATATAAAGCACTAGTTTAGCCTCAAGAGCTAGAAATCATCTGGTGGAATGATGCTACCTAAAGTGGTTCTTGTCTCTCTTCTTTCTCTTGTTCTAGTACATTCTGCTGCTGGTTTGGAGTGTAGGATCTATGTCAGTTCATCTCATGGTATCAACAATACCTCTTGTTGGACTGGAGGAGTTCAAACACCTTGTGCTACTATTGATCTAGCTATACAAGGAACTGCTACTCTACAATACAACTGTTCATCAGG